AAGAGATCATAGGTCTAAATGTAAAACCTAAAACTGTGAAACTTACAGAAAGGAAAAAAAAATCATGACACAGGATCCAGCAAAGTGTTCTTAAATATGACACCGAAATCACCATCCATAAAGGAAATAATTCATAAATTGGACATTTTCAAAATTAAAAATTCTTGCTCTGTGAACAACACTGTTAAGAGAATAAAAAGACAAACCACACAAACTATGTATCTGACAAAGGACTTGCACACAGACTATATAAATAACTCTCAAAGCTCACTAGGGAGAAAACAATCCAATTTTAAATGGGCAGAAGAGTTGATTGAACACTTCATCAAAAAGGATACACAAAAAGTAAATAAGCATATATAAAGATCTTAAACATCATTAGCTATTCATGAAACCCAAATTAAAGCCATGATGAGATACCAACTATACTGCTAGAATGACTAAAATTAAAAATACTGACAATACCAAGTGCTGACAAAAATGTGAAGCAACTGGAATTCTTATACGTTGCTGGTGGAAATGAAAAATGATTCAACCATTCTGGAAAACAATCTGGCAGATTCTTAAAAAGGTAAACATACACTTACCATATGATCCAGCAATCCAATATTTATTCTAGAGAAATGAAAACCTATGTTGACACAAAAACCTGTGTATGAAGGTTTAAAGTAGTTTTACTCATAATTGCCAAAAACTGGAAATAATTCCAATGTCTTTTCAACAGGAGAATGGATAGATAAGCTGTGGTACATCAATACCATGGAATACCACCCAGCAATAAAAAGAACTGACACACACAGCTCGTCTGAATCTCCAGGGAATTATACTGAGTCAAAAATATCCCCAGTTTCAGAAGGTCACATACTATATGATTTGATTTTTATCACATTCTTGAAATGACAAAATTCTAGAAATGGAGAATGGTAATTCCTAGGAGTCTAAGAAGGGGAGGACTGGAGAAAAGGGATGGATCTGGCTATAAAAGGGTAACATAAGGGATCCCTGCAATGCTGGAGCTGTGTCTTTTTTTTTTTGGAGCTATGTCTTGACCACAGCAAAGTCAACATCCTGGTCATGACATTATCCTATAGCTTTGTAAGATGTACTACTGGGGGAAACAGGTAAAGGATACACAGGATCTCTCTGTATTATTTTATATAATTGCACGTCAATCGATTATCTCAAAAGAACGTTTTTTTTTTTAAAAGGTTACATACCACATGATTCCTTTTATATGATAAAACTGTAGTGACACAGAACAGATCTGTGGTTGCCTGAGGTTACAGGTGGGGAAGGACAGAACCATAAAGGGGTAACATAAGGCATTATTTTGGCCTGATGAAACTATTCTCTATCCTATAGATTAGTTACACGCATCTGTATTCGTGAAATGCCTTCATCTCAGCACTGACCTTAACAATGCCAAATGTGTTCACATTTATGGTACTGGACAACAACAAAATCAGTATTCCTACACACTAATTTAAAAAACCATTTTTTTAGTGGAAGAAAAAAGATGGTTGGCTGTGAGCATCTGCAGGACTCTGTCTCTTGGCCAAATGAGAATCCAAAGCTGGACTGATAAAATTACTTCGGAAAAATGATTTCAAGAAAAATTTCAAGTTCCCTAAGACATTTGATTCCCAAATTACACCTTGACATTATGTCTCCAGCTCACTGAGGAATGCTCTAAGAAATACTGGCAGGAAACCAGGCTGTGGTTGAAGACAATCCCACCATCCACATGAAGACTCAGAAAAGAAAAGCCATGGAAGGCAATTCCAGGAAACCTTTACTTCCCTGAGGACTTGGTGTGCTCTCTCCTGATGAGTAAGGTGAGCCAGCTTCCTAATTAAGTTTCCCTCTGGCAGCCAGAGGCTCGAAGAGAAATCTGTAAGTCAATGTTAGTATCTGTCACACCCTAAGTCCTCCGCATGTCTACACTCTAACCTGGCCTTGCTGCTGTCTCTCATTCACCCTGATTCTAATGCTTATTTACAAATGATTTCCTATCTTATGTCAGAAATTCCTACATAGCTCATCACATCCATGGTACCAAAAAAAAAAAAAAAAGAGGAAGGAACAGACTACATACTTACCTGGGGTTTGGCCATTTCCTGCTCTTCTTCGGAAAAGGCAGAGATGTGTGAAGCCCGAGCTGGAAGAATGGAGAAGGGTACAGCATATGAGAGAACCCATCAGGCATATCTGCCCAGAATTATCTGCCTAGGAATCCCCTCACATGGGCTGGGCATGAGGCCACCCTGTGGAAGTTCGGGCAACCACGCGGTTTTAACAACCACCTGTGTATTCTTGACTCTTTTCCTCACCTGACCATCTAACACAAAAAGTTTCTTTTTTTCTATATATACTTGTGTACTGACCCAGAAATTGTATTTCCAGGTATTTTCTTTAATGAAATTATTCTAATACATCACAATTCCTCTATAAGTACCTTCATCTCAGCACTGACTTTATGAATGCCAAAGTTAATCCTATATGACTCAAAATAAGAGACTAATAAGGAAATGCAAGGGGTGAAATCCTATACAGCTATTAAAGACACTGTTGTATGGAACTGTGTGCTTTAGTATCTGTGTACTCTTCTGTACATATACCTAAATTAAAAGTTTTTAAAATGTCACAGAATAAATTAAGCTGAATCACAGTAAAACTTCTAAATGAAAAAAAAGGTAGGTTATAAATCTGTAGGAACCCATCTCAAACTATATGTGAAATGTTTAAAAAACGCACACCCCTAATACACACCAAAAACTCCAAGAATGGACGTTTAAATGTAGGGGGATAAAATGAATTCCTTTTGATTTTCTTTTCTTCTATTTTTTAATTAATCTGTAATTCAAATGTGCTAGTATTTGTTACACGCCAAGAAAACTGAACTTTTAAAAAACTGTCATCCTCCGGACGTTTTAAGCCCGACGATTTCCCCCCCCCCCCCCCCAGCCCCTGCAGCACCAAGCCTGGCCCACCCCACCCCCAAACCCCAAGCTCTAAGCTCTGAGGTGAGTCCTCTCAGGTGCCTCTTCCTTCTCCTCACCTCACTGGGGCCGGCTTGCCCAGGAGCCAGAAGGAAGCCTTCGGGTGCAGATTCACTTCGGCTGGAGCATTCACACCAGGCCCCTACGTTGGGGCGTGAGCAAGGAGAGAGGGGCACAGGGAGAGGTGGGGCGCGCCTAAGGAGGGACCTGAGGAGTGCGTATGAACCCTTAGCGCAGGTCACTGTGCTGGAAAATGTGTAGAAGTCAACGTTTAACAAGCCCCACTCAACCCCGACTAGTCCCATAACTTTGTCCACCATCGTGCCCAGAGACCTTCATTCGATCTCCCATCACTCACCCCACAATTCCCCACATCAATGACCGCCCCCCATCCCCCTTCATTCGTTCCCCCCAGAACTCCCCATCACTCAACCCACCACCTCTAGCACTCGCCCTCTCAACCCCTCTCCCTCTCTCCCTCTCTCTCTCCCTCTCTCTCTCTCTCTCTCTCACCCTCTCGACAATAGATTTTTCTGCTCACTGCAGAGGAGACCAGTACAAGAACTGGCCCTAAGAAGCACTTCCGCTTCGGGACCAACTCGGGCTCCGCAGCCCACAGGGCTGCAGCAGCTGGGTGTGCGCACGCTCAGTGGGGGCTTTGAGCCCGCGTCCGCCAATAGTCAACACCGGGCCCCCTCCCGCCCCCCTCCCACCGGCCCCACGCGAACGCGGCGGGGCCGCGGCGCCTGCGCGGAAGAAAGATGGCCGCGCCCGCGCGGTCCCTGCTTTGAGATGGCCGCGCCCACCAGGGCTCTACACCTCGAGGGCCGCCGTGTGGAGCAGGTGTTTACTTTGTTCAGCGGACACCGTCATTCCCGAGACCTCGAAAAGCATTTTGCTTAGGGCGGGGAGGGGAACTGCCCAATTGAGGAAAGTTCTGGCAGGCCGGAATTTGGGGTCTTGAACCCGAAGGGCAGCGTCGGGTTTACAGGTGTAATTGAATAGGAAGACGGGATGCGTGGCCGAGTCGCCCAGCGTGCACAAAGGCGGAGAGGTAGGGAAAGGTCACAGTGGCTCCATCCAGTGGCTAGAGCTGGGAGTTTTTTGAAGGACGGCATACAAACAAGCTGAAGGATAAAAATAAACGGGGACCTAGGACGCACACACCCCGGGGTGAAGGGAATGTGTTAAGCAGTGGCTGACGGGTTGCTTTCTCTGGCTGGGCAGAAACGAAATCCTTTCGTCGGAGGTGACCATTTTGCTGACCAAAAGGAGCCGGCCACACAAATAGCCGAAGCAAACTGGTGGAGCGCACGGCTGTTGCAAAGGCCCGGAAGTGGGACCCAATTCGGCGCGTTGGAGGAATGGAAGCTGGCAGTGTGTTTGGGAGCGTAGGAGGTGTGAGGGAGGGAGAAGTGGGTGGGGGGCCAGATGCCGTAGGGCCGCCTCTGCCAGGAACAGAGCTCATGCTTCACTCTAGACAGAATGGGAAGCCATAAGAGGGATAAGATTTTTTAAAGACCCATCAGAAGCAATCTCGCATTCTTGTTTATTGCGAGTCTTGCACCCACTAGAACATGAGCTTCACAGGGATTTGCTTAAGCATCTCCTGTATGACAGACAGTATTCTAGACATTGGAAATATAGCAAGGAAGAAGGCAGAACCAAACAAACATGATGGAGACAACCTGGTTTCAAACCCCCCACCTACGAGTTTTGTAACTAGGGCAGAACTCTTCTCTCTGCTGTTTCCTCATCTATAAAATAGGGAGGATGACAAATGAACTGATAATTGTAAAGACTTAGAACAATGCTTGGCACATAGCAAGTGCTACATGTTTTAGTATTATTATTTAAATAAAATTAGGCATCTGTATGTATTAAGCTTTTGTTAATAAAAAGGAAAAAAATTCAAAGATAACCCGCAGGCTGCTTTGGAGAACCACAACAGAGGGCAAGGGCAAAAGCAGGTGAAAAACAGTGTGGCTTCTGCCAACAGGCCCAGCAAGTGATAATGGGGGCTCAGACCTAGCTCAGTATCTCCTGTGTGCCACACACCGTCTGAAGCACATGATATGACCTGCCTCACTCAGTCCCCACTATCTGTGAACAGTCCCATGGCCTCCACTTGTCAGAGGAGGAAACTGAGTCCCAGAGGGACTAAGTAACTTGCCCAAGGTCACACAGTTTCCCAAGGTTGGATCCTTTACTTCTACCCAATAATATTCTTCTTTTGTTTATTCACTATCCCGCAGGACTTCCAGAAAGTATCTGTGGGTCCTCATCCCAGAACCATTAAAACTAGCCAAGGAATGTTTTTACCAGAAATCTAGATGGAGCTTCTTGGCAGACAAAGCAAAGACAAAGCAAAAACAGAGGAATAGCTCCTATCTCTTGCTCCCTGAAGGATAAGCACTTCTTGGGTACAAAACATGTCCGTTCTCTCTGAATGCATTAGAAGGTGGGAAATAGGAAGGGCTGGACCTGTAGGGCTCATCCCAGCCTGGCCTCTTCCATCTTAACAAACATCGTTCCCCCACCACCTTGTACACACACACACACACACACACACACACACACACACACACACACCGTGTATAGAAAGAATCCTTTAGGGTTGGTGGGTGTTGGGGTAAAGTGATTGCCAGCTCCAGAAATGTCCCTGAGCCAGTGATACAGCCCCTCAAAAACTGTCCCAGGGTTCACAGTGCACATCCAGAAGCTCTGTGAGGCCAGCTTTTCTGCGCTGAGGAGCAAGGACTCCCACTAGGTCCTGGGCATCCTCTGCCATCAGTCCCTGCAGGTGCAATCTCATACAACGGTCTAAGCCACAGGTAGCTAGGTAAAGGGCTATGGGAGGCTGACCGTAGCTGGTACCACCACAGAGTCTCTACGATGTGACACTCCCACCCACAGGTCCCCCACCTCACCAGTGAGTCATCACCACAATCGTTCTTAAGATACATTTCATCGGGCGCCTGGGTGGCTCAGTCGGTTAAGTGACTGCCTTCGGCTCAGGTCACGATCCCGGAGTCCCGGGATCGAGTCCCGCGTCGGGCTCCCTGCTCGGCGGGGAGTCCGCTTCTCCCTTGGACCCTCTTCCCTCTCGTGCTCTCTGTCTCTCATTCTCTCTCTCTCTCTCTCTCAAATAAATAAATAAAATCTTTAAAAAAAAAAGATACATTTCATCAAGGGGTATCTGGCTAGCCCAGTTGGTAGAGCATGTGACTCTTGATCTTAGGGCCAGTTCAAGCTCCACACTGTGTGGAGAACTTACTTTAAAATAAAAGATATTTTAAAGATACTTTAAAATAAAAAAAATGAATTTTGATTTCATCAAAACTATAGAAGTGTGGCCAATTGTGAGCAGTGATTTGGGACCATAAGGCAGCAGGTGAGTTTGTCAGAGCAAAAGCACACGAGCCACTTCTCTGGTGACCTTGAAGGTAGCATGATAGCCCTGAACTACCTGCTTCCAAGAGAGGAATCCACTTCCATTCTGGTATTTGTAGTATATACCATCACTGGTATATGAATCCTGAACAGTATGTCAGAATTTACTGTCTTGGCCAATGCGAGTGTCACTAAATGGGAGACATATGGGACGGGCAGGGGTGAATAATGGTGAATGAAGGGCAGACTGGGAGTGAATGGGGGCAAGCAGAGACAGAGGGTGATGGGAAGGAGGTGAATGAACAGAGTGGAGTCAAAGGGGGTAGTGTGGAGCCACACGAGGGAATGACCATGCATTCGATTTTGAATTAATTGGAGATTATGGATGAGACTGAGTAAATGATGGGAAAATGAGGCACGGGCTAAAGTGACCAAAAGTGAAAGTGGGAGCAGACTGAGTGAGTGGAGCAATTCAAGGCGGTGAACATGAATGGAGTTGATAAAGCAGGAGAGTGCAAGTTGTTTTGCGCACTAAGGACCAGAGTGCGAATAAACGATGGTTTATGGGGCATGTTAAGAGTGAGAGAGGTGAATTTAGGGGGAGCATGGGAGCGAATGGAGGTAATGTGGGGCATGGAGGGAAGGAGGGGGAGTACAAGGGACAGAAGAGGGACTGAAGACGTACACATGGTAGAATGTGAGTATGTGAATCAGGTTGAGTTCGAGTGGCGACACTCTGAGAGAGAAATGGAGTGGCTAGAGGTGAATGAGGGGCAGACTGTTTTAGATAGGGGGGATGCGGGACTCCGGGCACGTCCAGGGATCCCAGCATCACGCAGCCCAGGTGGAGGAGCTGCCACGTGTGCCTGTTGGGCAGAGTGAGAGGGAACAGAAGCAAAGAGAAGAAGGTGAGTCACCGTGGGTATTGTGAGCCAAAGGGAAAGACGAAGGTCACACGGCCCCAAGTGAATAAAGTGGGGGAACGTGGGGCCCAGTGAATTCAAGGCAGAGTGTGACTGAATGAACGGAAACTAGACATGAGATCAGGCACAGGACGGGGGTTGTGAGCGGGAACAGGGGTTACACAGGAAATGAGTTTCAGTGAATGAGATCATTTCGAGGAACGAGAGGCAGAGTGAGAGTAAATGGAGCCAATGAAGAGAAAGTGAGGAATGGGGCTGAGCAAGCAGAGAACGAGAATCTGCAGGTAACTTGCGCTAGGGTTTGGGTCCTCCCAAACATGGGGGTAAACAAGGGAGCAGCGCTGGAGAGAATAAAGGTGAAGAAGGGGCTGCAAGAGAGAGAATGAGGCCCAGAGTCCACGAAGCAAGCTGAAGAGTGGGCCACGTGACGGTGAATGGGAGTCACTTCATGCGGTGTCAAGAAGCGGAGGGGAGGGCGCCGGGGTGGCTCAGATGGTTAAGCGTCTGCCTTCGGCTCAGGTCATGATCCCAGGGTCCTGGGATCGAGTCCCGCATCGGGCTCCCTGCTCCTTGGGAGCCTGCTTCTCCCTCTGCCTCTCTCTCTCTCTCTCTCTCTCTCTCTCTCTCTCTCTCTCTGTCTCTCATGAATAAATAAATAAAATCTTAAAAAAAAAAAGCAGCAGAGGGGAAAAGTAGAAAACAAGCGTCTGAGAGTGAATGGAGGTGAAGGAATACGACATGAGAGAATTGGGGCCATGTAAGGAGAGGGTTAAGGAGTTGTGGCACTATGAGGCCCAGCGTGAACGAAGGGTAGTGGCCCAGAGGCAGTGTAAGAGAAGGGGGGGGGACGGGGATGAAAAGCTGGAATAAGAATGGAGGTGAAGCAGCAGTAGGGGGCGCATCTCTGTGTCGTGTGTCGTGTATAATATGTAACGGAGGGCAGAGTGTGATTGAATGGGGTGACCATGGGCCAGATTCCAGGAAATTAGGGTGGAACTGTGCATAGTAAGTGAAGCGAAGGAGGTGCCAAGAATGGGTAAATGGAGGTAACGAGGGGCAGAAGGCGAGGGCACGGTGGCCATATTGTGCAGAGTGTGGGAGGAGGCACAATGTAGTGAACAGAGCTGGCTGCTGAGCAGAGTGGGGGGAATGGAGGGGACGAGGGGCAGAGTGAGTGGAAATGGAGGGAACCAAGTGGTAGAGCGTGATTGAAAACAGTGGAGTGGCACCGTGTTAAGGAAAGTGGGGGAATGTGGCTGACTGTGAGGCCCAGGGCCTGAGTCCTATCTCTGTGTCTCCAGCCCCTCTCTTCCTGCATCTCTTTCTGACATCTCAGGGTTTCTCCCTGGTTTTGCCTCCTCCCATCTTTGTGTACAGGTCAGTATCTTTCTTTTCCCTTGTGTGTCCGTCTCCAACAGAGGTGGCACTTGGAAAGACAGTGAGCCCTCTGGCTTCTGTGTTTCAGAATCTATTACATGGTATTTGCTCATAGAGCCCAGAGGTCCAGAATGCCCCTAGTTCTGAACAGGGCATTTGAGTCCGGAGCAAAGAGTTGGCCAGGAGGGCCTATGGGTGTTATAATGCAGACCTGGGTCACTGTGGCGGTGACTCTGGCCACACTGATGGTCGCCGCCGTGGATGCGAAGATCTATAAACGCTGTGAACTGGCAACGAAGCTGGAGAAGGCGGGCCTCAGTGGCTTTAAGGGCTACAGCGTTGGAGACTGTGAGACTCCAGCTGCCCCAAGTCCCACCCACACCCGGAGCTGCCCACCACACTCAGACCCAGGCCCCCTTCCTCATCTATCACCTCCCTAGGCCAGGGCATGATCCTCTCGGCCATCCCCTGACCGACTGACTCCAATGTCCTTACCATCATTGCCTTCACAGCCATCACCCCCATGTCTACCATCAACACCATCACTACCATCAAAGTCATCACGAATACCATCACCCCTGCCATCCCTCATACCTCACCAGAATCACCATCACCACCACCACCAAACCAAGATCGTCACCTCCACAGCTGGGATGACAACGACCCCTGTCCCCTCCCCTTATCCTACCATCCCCTAGCTGTGCCTACCCCCTCCCTGCCCCAGGGCTGTGCATGCCACACTATGAGAGTGGCTCTGACACCTTCTTCGTGGACCACGATCACGACGGCAGCACCGGATACGGCATTTTCCAGCTGAGCTCCACCTGGTGGTGTAACAATGGTATTACACCCACCCAGAACCTCTTGTCACATCAAGTGTCGAGGTGAGGCAGCACTGGAGACACCCCGAAGCCCTCCCTGCCTGGCCCCACTGCCCAACACACAGAGTTCAAGGTTGCCTAAGCCATAACCTCCAGTAAGAAGCAGAAAAATGACAAGGAAAAGAGCACATTTGCCTGGGCTGTTAGAGACACCATCCATCCCGTACCCTTACCGACTACGCTGAGATGTGGCCCAGGTCAGGAGGGCTCAGAAGTCCTACACCTCCCCGAGAATGGAGGCTGCAGTTTTCGGGGACTCAGAAAACCAGAAACTTACCTCCATGTGGAATGGAGGGGGAGATTGTCCTGACTTGGCGTTGAGGTTGTTCAGGCCCTGAGGGAAGAAATACATATCTGGCTATAGGAACAGAAATAAGGAGTGTCTGTGCAGAAAGGAGAGAGCTTTCCAGACAAGGGTGTGGTGGTATTGAGGACAAAATTTAATAGCGGTAGTTGTTCGGGGTTGGCCAAAATGGTGCTTGAGGTTGTCCAAGACAGACCAAAATGGGGACTGAGGTTATTAGGGTCCACGCCAAATGGAGGTTGAGGATGTCCAAGTCCTGCTACAGTAACAGAAGAGGTTACCCAGGACTGGCCAGCTTGAAGGTTGAGGTTGTCCAAGACTAGCCACCACAGAGGCTGAAGCTGTCTAGGACAGGGTAACATGAAGAGTAAGGTTTCTCAAGACTAGCTAAAATAAAGGTTAAGGTTGTTCACTTTGAGCCAACATGGAAGTTGAGGTAGTCCAGGATCAGCTATAATGGAAGTTGAGGTCCTTGAATGGTCAACATGGAGGTTGGAATTATTTGTAACTGGTCAAAATGGCAACTGAGGTTGCCCAGGACTGGTCAACATGGCAGCTGAGATCATTTACCTGTCAGAATGGCAGTGAAGGTCGCCCTGGTTGAGCAGTTGGGATCATCTAGAACCAGGCACCATGATGACTGAGGTTGAATGGAACTAACCAGCATGGAGATTGAGGTCATTTGTAACCAAAGCGGCAGTTGAGGTTATCCAAGACCTGACAACACAGTGTTTGAAGTCACCAAGACTGACCAACCTTGCAGCTGAGTAGCTTCCCAACCAGCCGACATGGTGGTTAAGGTGATGTCAGACCAGCTGCTGTTGCAGTTGAGATCATCCATAACCACACAAAATTACAATTGAAGTCATCCAGAACTGGCCAACAGAGTTTGAGGTTGTTAGGACCAGGCAGTATGATGGTTGAGGATATTCATAACCAGGCAAAATGAATCAAGATCATCCAGGATCTGGGGGCACCTGGGTGGCTCAGTCATTAGTTGTCTGCCTTCAGCTCAGGTCATGATCCCAGGGTCCTGGGACTGACCCCCACATTGGGCTCCCTGCCCCACGGGAAGCCTGTTTCTCCCTCTCCCACTCCCCCTGCTTGTGTTCCCTCTCTCACTGTGTCTCTGTCAAATAAATAAATAAAATCTTTAAAAAAAAAAAAAGATCACCCAGGATCTGTCAACGTGAATTAAGGTTCTACAGAACCAGCCAACATGGCGGTTGAGGTAATTCATAACCAGCTGACAAGTGAATCAAGGTCATCTAGAATCAGTCAATGTAGTGGTTGAAGTTATTCAGGCTCCAAGGAATCCAGAACCCCTGGGCCTACCATACACTGTCACCCTGTCCCCAATGCACCAGCTCACTATGTCCCTTTCTTCCCTCCCCCCCGTAGACCTGCTCAGCCACCATATTCTGGATGGTATCTTGTGTGCCAGGCAGGCGGTGTCCTCAGAGAATGGCATGACTTCTTGGTAAGTTCATAGGGGCAGCTTGGACCTTGGGCAGCAGGGATAATGGCACTACCATCTTATCAGCCTGTCCACTTCACCCTCCTTCTCTCCCTTCATTTCCCAGGGATTCATGGACCCGGCACTGTTCTGGCCATGATTTATCTGAATGGCTCAAGGGATGCAATATGCATGCCAAAGCTAACTCAAAGAAAACTAGTAATTCATGATTCAGTTTCCCAGAAGTAGAAATTTTCTTTTCCTTTCTTTTCTTTCTTCTGTGGGTTTAATAAAGAACGGTATCTATAAACAATGCAGGAGTCCTCTGATGCCTAACTCTCTTCATTTTTCAGAAGCAGACTCCCCGCTGAGCAAGGAGCCCAATATGGGACTCGATTCCAGGACCGTGGGATCATGACCTGAGCCAAAGCCAGACGCTTAACCCATGAGCAACCCAGATGTCCCTAAATAAAAAATTAAAAAAAAAAAAACACTTTTCCCATAGGAGTCCTATATATAGAGTGTGTGTAATGCAGAAACCACCCAACCACCCATGTGCTCTCAGGAAGTCGGTTTACAAATCCATTATTTTCATGACCTCACTCCTTAGTGACATTTTTCTAATGGATGTAGCTTGCCTCAGGTGTCTATTTTGGTTTTTCTGGTGCCTCTCCAGCTGGTCAACTTGGCAGACTTCTAGAAAGACGAATAATAAACCATTCCCTGTGAATATACCTTTTGTTAGAAGCAGACCTCTGATAAGGTTGACTTATTTTAAGTCTAGATACCAGTCAGAAAGAAATTCAAATTACATGTCTCCCATACTTTGAGCTTGAGGGAAAGAAAGCACAAATTGCTCTGACAGAAATTGGAACAAGAAAGTAATGATAAATATCAGTGACTTTGATTAAGAAAAATACCTTAAAATGGAGGAGAGCAGGTGAAAATAGGTTTAGAGAGCTGTGAGTAGGGTAAAGGGATTTTGAAAAGGTAGTAGACCCAGGATTTGGATCTCAAACAGAAGAGCCTTTCAGGAAGGCTGAAAATGGGGCGCCTGGATGGCTCAGTCGATTAGGCATCCCACTCTTGGTTTCAGTTCAGGTCATGATCTCAGGGTCATGAGATCGAGCCCCATGTCAGGCTCCACACTGAGCATGGAGCCTACTTGGGATTCTCTCCCTCTCCCTCTGCCCCGCCCCGACATGCTCGTGCACGCATGCGCGCTCGCTCTCTCTTGCTCTCTCGCTCTCTTAAAAAAAAAAAAAAAAAAGGAAGGCTGGAAACAACTGAGGTGACCAAGAGAATAAGTAGAAGGATGACGCAGATTGTAGTCCAGTTCCTTATACCACTTCATTCCAAGATTACCACGAGACAGCTCACAAAACTAACAATTTGGAGTTAGCAAAAAAAAAAAAAAGTCATATCCTTGAGGAAGATATTTCTCAGCTTTTAAAGACGTCCAGCCCTCACTCACCCACTGGGGCCTTACTCATTATCTCCATCTGTCCGTTTCTTCTCTACCTGTGTAACTCGAACTTGGAATTTCTCTATGATCTGGAGTCCTCTCTTCTCAAACAGGCGATCACATCTGGTTTGGTAACAGGATACCCTGTAATGGAAATGATAGATGATTTAGGCACATCCGTGTGGGTTTCACAGCCTCGAGGTAATGAGGAAGGTACATTTTAATAAGTATAAATTTCACACGAGAGATGAAAATACAAACACCTTATTCAGTCTAAGAGGGATTAGGAATCTTGAATCCCTGGAACCTGAGGTCAAAGTATTGAAACACTTCAGAGGTGGAAAGTCATCCTATCTGGTACACTGTGAATTACTCAGGGAAGCTGTGCTCACCCACAGAGACCAAATGGCTATAGCTCTCTAGCATCACAGCTCTGTAAAGTGTCCTCTCAGAAGATTCCAGATGATTCCACTCCTGGGTGAAGTCCACAGCCACATCCTCAAATGACACTGACCCCTGTAATTGCATCCTTCTATTCAATCAGTTTGATAGAAATTTAAATGGTGATATATTTTAAGATGAAGGGACTATTCTTCAGAGAGAGGCTACTGTTTAATAATTTCCAAAAAGTTTTCTCTGAGATATTTGCAATAGCTATCTCTAGCAAAGGACTAAAGAACTCCTCAAAATCAAGATGATAAATGTAGGCAATCTCATAGAAAAACCAGAAAAAGATTTGAACAGATACTTCACAAAAGATGATATCCAATTGGCCAGTAAACATATGAAAGGGTGCTCGAGGGGCGCCTGGGTGGCTCAGTCGGTGAAGTGTCTGCTTTTGGCTCAGGTCATGATCCCGAGGTCCTGGGATCGAGCCCCACGTCGGGCTCCCTGCTCAGCGGGGAGCCTGCTTCTCCCTCTCCCTCTGCCTGCCGCTCCCCCTGCTTGTGCTCTCTCTCTCTCAAATAAATAAAAAATCTAAAAAAAAAAAAGGGTGCTCGACATCTTTAGTCACCAGGGAAATACGAATTTAAACCACAATGAAATATAACTATATACCAACAGAATGGCTAAAATTAAGACCAAAAATCCAAATGTTGGCAAGGATGTGGAGCAACTGGAACTCTCATATATTGCTGGTGAGAGTAAACTATAAAATAGTACAGCCACCATGGAAAACATTTTAGCTGAATCTATTAATTAATACTAAGCGTACACCTAACCTAGGACCCAGCAACCCCACTCCTATGTATATATCTAATGGAAATGCACACACATCAAGACATGTACAAGAATATCCATAGACGTATTATTTGAAATTGCCAAAATGGAGACATCCACCAGCCGCAGAATGAATAAACAACTGTGATGTATTTATACAACAGAATAGTACACAGTAACGGAAAGAACGAATGATACACAAAATGACAAGAATGGATCTCAAAAACATTATGATAACTGAAAGAAGCCAGACACAAAAGCATAACGTAAGATTCCATCCATGTGACATTCAAGAACAGGCAAAAATAATCTATGCCTATAGAAATCAGAAAGCATTACCCATGAGGCAGGGGATAGTGATTGGACGTGGCATGAAGGAGGCTTCTGGGTGACTTCTCACTTTCTGTTTCTTGATTCAGGTACTGGTTACACAGGCGTTTCCAATTTGTAATTCATGAAAGTGTACACATTATACACTTTTCTCTGTATGCTATGCTTCAACAAAATGTCAACCCCCCCAAATTCTTATCTAAGTAGTATTCCCATAATATTTCCATAAAAAATAGTAAGACAAAGATATAAGAACAAAAAAAAAAAAAAAGGATTTATGCACCTACAGGCAAGGGGCACCTGGCTGATTCAGTCAGTAGAACATGGCAGTTGCTCTCAGGGTTGTGAGTTCGAGCCCCACCTTCAGTATAGAAATTAAATAATATATTAAAAAAAAAAAGAACCCACATGAAAAAGAGCAATGTACGTAAAAGAACAATTCACCAAAAGAGGAAAGAATATGAAAAGATACTCAACCTCGTGGCTAACTAAATAAACACGAACAAAAGAAATGAGATATTTTAACTATCAAATGGCAAGGATTAAAAATATGACAAAAGGATTAGGAAGGGTATTTTCATTTATAGATAGAGCTAGAGTATTATGCTAAATGAACTAAGGCAGTCCGAGAAACACAAATACTATGTGATCTCATTCATAGGTAGAATTTAAGAAACAAAACAAATGAACAAAGGGAAAAAAAAGAGAAACAAGCCAAGAAACAGACTCTTAAGAATAGAGAACCAACTGATGGTCACCAGAAGGGAGAGAAGTGGGAGAATGGGGGAAGTAGGGAATGGGGATTATAGAGTACACAGCTCATGATGAAAAAAATAAAAAAGGGACGCCTGGGTGGCACAGTCAGTTAAGCGTCTACCTTCGGCTCAGGTCAGATCTCAGGGTCCTGGGGATCGAGCCCCCGTTGGGCTCCGGCTCAGCGGGGAGTCTGCTTCTCCCTCTCCCTCTGCCCCTCCCCCCGGTGCGCTCTCTCTCTCTCTCTCTCTCTCTCTCATGCTGTTTATTTCTCACTCTCTCTCTCAAATAAATAAATAAGATCTCTCAAATAAATAAATAAGAAAAAAGAAAACAGAAAGTTTTAAAAATAAAGTATTGAAAACAAAGAAAAGAATGAAGAGAATTTTTTAAATAAATAAATAAATGAAACATCTCTTTCTACCAAAAATAAATAAAATAAAAATATGACAGAAGGATTAGGAAGGGTATCTTCATTCATTAGCAGGAGTACAAACTTGCACAAACTTTTCAAAAGGCAATTTGGCAAGGTCTGTGAAGGTTCAAAACGTGCCCAACTTTTGAACCAGAAATTGTAGAAATGCTCAGCACGGTACAAGATAGAGGAGAAGAAAGATTACTGCCATGCTATGCATCGTGGCACATGCATACAAGACAAAAATAAGCAGCTATTAAAGATATTGGTCTAGGGGCGCCTGGGTGGCTCAGTCGTTAAGCGTCTGCCTTCGGCTCAGGTCATGATCCCAGCGTCCTGGGATCGAGCCCCGCATCGGGCTCCCTGCTCCGCGGGGAGCCTGCTTCTCCCTCTCCCACTCCCCCTGCTTGTGTTCCCTCTCTCGCTGTGTCTCTCTCTGTCAAATAAATAAATAAAATCTTAAAAAAAAAAGATATTGGTCTTGACAGTGAAATATCTTCTATCGACAAGTATTCACGGAATGGGGACTGTCCCAGCTATGCCAGTAACCAGCTCTGCAACTCCACGCCACTTGCTTACCCACTCTGGGACTCAGTTCCCACATTAGTAGAATGCGGATATTAAAGGTACCCACTTCTCAGGGTGGTTGTGAGGACTAAGGTGGTCATGTGTATGAAGTACTGAGTAGGGGGCGCCTGGGTGGCTCAGTCAGTTGTTAAGCATCATGTGGGCTCAGGTCATGATCCCAGGGTCCTGGGATCGAGCCCTGCTCAGGGGGAAGCCTGCTTCTCCCTCTCCCTCTGCCTGCCGCTCCCCCTGCTTGTGTGCTCTCTCTCTCTCTCTCTCTCTCTCTGTTAAATAAATAAATAAAATCTTAAAAAATAAAATAAAGTACTTAGTAGAGTGCCCGGTGCAGTGCAGGCTCATTACGTGTTAGCTTCTGTTCCTGCCACTAACATCATCATCATCCCCATCCTCTGTATTATCATTATCATTACTCCTACTACCTTCATCAAATGTAAAGAGAAAACAGGGAATTGCAAAAGTTTGTATATTATGAGCATATGTTAGCAAAGGAAGTTCTGTATCAACAATATGCTTTTACGTGTATGTAAATATAAAGAAGAAGGGACAGAGAGAGGTATAGATGGAAATTAAATTCACCATAGAATTGGTTATCTGGAATGAGTGATGATATGAAACCTGGAGTTATTTTCTCTTTTTAGGTTGTACATTCCTAAAAGAGTTTGAGTTTTTGGTGCTACTTCTTTTGTAGGGAGAGAGAAAAAAATGACAAAACAATATAGACATGTTTAAAAAGGGCAAAAGGGAGAGAGAGGCGCCTAGGTGGCTCAGTCATTGGGCGTCTGCCTTTGGCTCAGGTCGTGATCCCAGGGTCCTGGAATCGAGCCCTGCAATGGTCTCCCTATTCAGTTCAGTGGACAGTATGCTTCTCCCTCTCCCTCTGCCCCTCCCCTCGCTTGTGTGTGTGTGTGTGTGTGTGTGTGTGTGTGTGTGTGCAGGCGCGCTCTCTTTCTCTCTCAAATGAATGAAAGAAAGAAAGAGAGAGAGAGAAAGAAAGAATAAAGGGCAAAAAGTAAAGAACTGAACATAGTCAGGGACATCATGAATTCTCAGCCTGAAAAGGAAAAACGCAGACCTTTGGATCACTCCGGCTTTGCTGAAACCCCAGATGAGGAAAAAAACCGTATTGGAGGGGAGGTGGGTGGGAGGATGGGTGAAACAGAGAAAGGGGATTAAGAAGTACAAACGGGGCATTCGGCGGCAGCCACTGAGCAGACCGGACTTCACTTGCACGCGCACCTCGCTCCGCTTCCTCTGCAACCATGTCTGACAAACCCGATATGGCTGAGATTGAGAAATTCGCTAAGTCGAAATTGAAGAAGACAGAAACGCAAGAGAAACATCCACTGCCTTCAAAAGAAACGATTGAGCAGGAGAAGCAAGCAGGCGAATCGTAATGAGGCGCGCGCCGCCAATATGCACTGTACATTCCACAAGCATTGCCTTATTTTACTTCTTTTGGCTGTTTAACTTTGTAAGATGCAAAGTGGTTGGATAAGTTTAAATGACTGTGCTACCCCTTTTCACATCAAAGAATCGAGAAGTACTGACAACCAAGGCGCCTGCCTCTCCCATCTGCCTGTCTGGCTGGCAGGGAAGGAAAAGAACTTGCGTGTTGGGGAAGGAAGAAGCTGGGTGGGACGACAGTGAAATCGAGAGTAAAAACCAAGCTGGTCCGGGGTGTCCTGCAGGCTGTAAAATGCAGTTTAATCAGAGCGCCATTTTTTTTGTTCAAATGATTTTAATAATTGGAATGCACAATTTTTTTAATATGCAATAAAAAGTTTTAAAACCTGAAAAAAAAAAACAAAGAAGTACAAATGGCCTGTTATAAGTAAGTCAAGGAGAGAAAAGTGCAGCATAGGGAATATCATCAATACTGCAATAATGTCGTCTGGGGACATATGGTGACTACACTTACTCTGGTGAGCATTGCGTAAGGTAGAAAATTGTCAAATCAATATGTTGATTTGAAACTAATATAACATCATATGTTAATTAAACTCCAATTTAAAAAAATCCTGGAAAATAACTTGAAGGGTATGGGGTTTACTGGTTATTTCTTTTTTCTTAAGATTTTATTTATTTATTTGACAGAGAGAGACACAGCGAGAGAAGGAACACAAGCAGGGGGAGAGGGAGAGGGAGAGTCCCCACTAAGCGGGGAGCCTGATGTGGGGCTCCATCCCAGGACGCTGAGATCATGACCTGAGGCAAAGGCAGCCACTTAACAACTGAGCCACCCAGGTGCCCCGTTTACTGGTTATTTCTTGACCGTTAAGGTTTTATCCTTGTATTGACCCCGAACACGAGAGCTGCTTGTGCTGACATGACTGTGGTTTCCTGAAGTGTCACATCCCTTTAGTTCTGTCCCAGCAGGACGCCTTTGGCTGGTATGAAGACATATTTTAAGTCACATGCAGAACAATCGTCTCCCTGTGATTATCCCAAGATTGCTGATGAGGACATGGCTGACCCATAAGAGAAATACCTTGAAACCTCAACATCAGGAAATCTTTGCTTCTGAGGGAGTGGCTTACTTTCTCTCTATGGGTAAGATAAATCAAGTGAGTGTTCCTCCCCTTTATGTGACGGCTTCCAGGAAGCTCAGAAAAAGAACTGTAGCTCAACATAAGTATATAGGATCCTATGACCTACATATATACATTTCAACCTTGCTTTGGTATTGCTCTGTTTCCCTAATCCTAACTTTTTATGTGTTTATACATGTACATTTTATGGTATAAATAATAACGTCAAACCCATATATAAAGCTTATTATGTGTGTGCCAGGCTTTGTTCTAAACACTTAATTTTTTTAAAGATTTTATTTATTTATTTGAGAGAGAGAGAGAGCACAGAGGGGAGGGAGAAGCACACTCCCCGATGAGCAGGAAGGCTGAGGCAGAGCTTGATCTGAGGACCTTGAGGTCATGACCTGAGCTAAAGGCAGACTCTTAACCAACTGAGGCATCCAGGCGCCCCCTAAACACTTAATATTAACTCAACTGATCTTCACAACAACCATAAAGGCTTAGGTATCATCATCATCATTTTACAAATGGGGAAACTAAGCTACAGAGAAGTTAGAGACCACCTAAGCTCACAAAGCTATTATGAGCATTTTGGCCCCAGAGTCTGTGCTCTTGACCACTACACATTACTGCTTCTTTGCTTCTAAACGTTTTCACATTGGTCAGGGAGAGGGGAGCAAGTAAGAACTTACCTGGAAATTAGTCATGTCTGCCTTATGGAGAGAGGGCAGTGGCCTAGAAAAGCAAAGCTGTTGAGAGGGGGGAGAAGAAAAGAGAAGAGGTTGCAATAACATGGAAAAATGGAAAGCTCACCAAATCATCAGGCTAGCAATCCATAAACGCCAACTGGTTAGCTGTAGCCAAGAAAAAACAGGAAAGAACATTCATTTGCCCCACACAGCCCCATCATTCAACAACACCAATCGGTCACGGTCCTCACAGACCTCCCAACACTCACCCTCACCCATCACTGACTCCAGACACCCCCCATCACCCCAAAAACCCTCATTACTCACCCCACGGACCCCATGACGCACCCCAGAGATCCCCCGTCACTGACTCCAGAGACCTCCCATCACACACCCCACCCCCTACAGCCCCACTCCACAGACCCCACCACTCACCTTAGAGGCCCCCTTACCTAGCCCCCAGAGACTCTCACGACGCATCTCAGAGCCCCCCTCCAAGTACTCACCCGGCGAATTCGCGTCTTTACAAAGCCCGCACTCGCACGTGCCGTTCCGCCCGCAGACCAGCGCTGTCTCCCTGCAGCTCCGAGCGAACCGTCCGCCCTCCATCCCCTGCTCTCCGGGTTTCCACCTGGATTCTGGCGAGGTCCGCCTGGAGTTTCTCAAGTTCCTCCAACAACCACTTTATTGGTCTTTTACCCCACCGTCGGTGGGGGCCGGCTCTAGTCCTCGCATGCGCAGTTGCCCTCGCTGCAGCCGTCGGGTCAGCGGCCAGTAGCAGCTCGGTGCGTGTGTGGTTTTGCAAGGGCCTTGACCGCACGGGGCGGGGGGGGGCGGGCAGAGAAATGGCCGCGCCAGTAAACCGGTTTGGCAGGGAGCAGACATCTTTCAAAGGTTCCAATTCCGTACAGCGGAGATCGGCGCCTCTGAAAGTTCAGAAGACATGGGATTTCGGGAGGACTTTGAAAACTTGCCACGAGCGAGGCCCTTGGGGCAAAGGCTAGTGATGGGCGAGTTATGCGCGTGGTTGCGGGTCTGATGGGAACTGATCTGAACCGACGCAGGGCTGAGGACAAGACCAACCCCTCCGTGGGAAGATACCACGGCGGAGTTGGGCGTGGGGAGACCGGGAATAGTACAGTTATCCCTGGGAACTATTAGTGGGAAGAAGGGAGGCAAACTGGGAGTGATCCCTTCCTCTACCACTGGGGAAATGGGGAGAAAGTGTAGGGGTGCAAGAAGGTAACACTGGGTAGATGGGGGGGTGGAGAACCGGGGGAGTACAGTCCTTCTGATAGATACTATTCAGCTAGCGGTCCTCTGTGGGAGATACCACTAGTGCAGATGGGGGAAAGTCCGTCCTCGGAGAAAGAGACCTATGAAGAAAGTGACAAGGGTAAGCATAAGTGCAAGGAGAGCCAGAGACAGAAGCCTGAGAGATCTGGGGCAACAGGGAGGTCCTAGTCGGCGACTAAATAAGAATCCGAACCTGACAGTGATCCGCCAGGTCCACATTCCATCCCCTTTCTAGGAATCTGCCCCCAGAAAGTTATGGGAGGGTCGAGATGCCAGGGTCCGGAGTCCTTTGGGCCCAGGTCCCAGGCCTCCGGGCCTCAGTAACCTGTGGAGGAACAACCAGCACACAGTGCTCAGGTCCTGGACCTTAAACACTCTACCCTATTAATCACACTCTACCACTTAGTCATGTGAAAGGGAAAATGCACGGGATAATTAAGGAGATAATTTTTTCCCAGGCTATTGCAATGGGGAAAACTCGTTAATGAGGAACATCTCAAAAGCAAGGAAAGGGACCTGGGGTTTTATAGAGTGTTAAATAACAAAACCAAGTAAATTTGAAGATCTAGTTGGTTTTATTAAACGGTTCATGAATCGGGCGGCAGCACCCCACCCCCAGCAAGTAGCGAGGTGCTCCAAGGAGTTGTAAAAAATGCCAGGTTTGTACAGAAGGGTGGGGGCAAGAAAGTTATTAACAAAAGAAAAGGATTGTTCCAGGCCAGGCCTCGCTCTAGGGGGAAAAGCAAGGTGTCTTATCCTGCAGATTACCTCATCTTTTTTGGGAGGGGTATGGAAAGGGCTCAAGTGGCAGATTCATTGGTGTGGATTTAAAAATTCCTGGCTGTCTGATTAAGACTGTACTTCTGCGGGAGGTTGAAACTGCAATTAGATTATGACTTTGGGGGATACAAAAATACAGATTTGAAGGGGTACATGCACCCCAATGTTTATAGCAGCATTATCAACAATAGCCAAACTATGGAAAGAGCCCAAATGTCCATCGACTGATGAATGGATAAAGAAGATGTGGTATATATATACGATGGAATATTACTCAGCCCTAAAAAGAATGAAATCTTGTCATTTGTCACGGTGTGGATGGAGCTAGAGTGTATTATGCTAAGTGAAATAAGTTAGAGAAAGACAAATACCATATGATCTCACTCATGTGTGGAATTTAAGAAAGAAAACAGATGAACATAGAGGAAGGGGGAAAAGAAAACAAGGAGAGAGGGAAACAAGCCGTAATTGACTCCTAATGATAGAGAACAAACAGGGTTGATGGAGGGAGGTGGGTGGGGATGGGCTAGATGGGCGATGGGTATTAAAGAGGGCATTTGTTGTGACAAGCCCTGGGTCTTGTATGTAAGTGATGAATCACTGAATTCTACTCCAGAAACCAATATCGCACTGTGTGTTAACTAACAAAATTTAAATAATAAAAAAAGATTATGTCTTTGGGAATATATTTGGGAACTCAGCCTAAGTGACTCCATTTTGAGCCTATGGGTGTTTTTTTAACAAGAGGCAAATAGAAAAAGTGTCACCCTTGAGTCAGAAAGGACGGAGACAGGTCTTACCTTGAAATATGCAAAGGCATTGGGAATTGCTATGGACTGAATTGTGTACCCCTCAAAATTCATATGTTGAAACCCTGGCCCCCAAAATGATGATATTTGCAGATGGGACCTTTGGGAGGCTAATTAAAGTTAGATGAGTTCATACAGTGGGGCCCCAGTTGGATGGGATGAGCATCCTTAGAAGAGACACCTCTGCCCAAAGAAGAGGTCATGTGAGGACACATTGAGCAGGTGGCTCTCTGCAAGCCTGGAAGAGAGTTCTCCCCAGGAACCAAATCAGCTGGTGCCTAGATCTTGGACTTCCCAGCTTCCAGAACTGTGAGAAATTAATTTCTGTTGTTTAAGCCCCCAGTCCATGGTATTTTGTTATGGTGGCCTGAGCTAATACTGGGAACTCTGCGGTTCTCCATTTCCTGGAATGCAAATAAGTAGGGGTATTTCTTCTCCATCAATGCTTTCCAGAAGAACAGGACTCATTCAGATATAAAGTCTGACTCTGCCAGGCCCCTCCATTCCAGCTCACCTTTGCCCCTCATGGTTCCCCATTCCTTCCTACGCTACCAATCATTCTAATCTATTCTCTCCCACTGTGCCCCAGATTTCCCCATTCGGTCCCACTGTTTATTCACTTCCATCCACTCTGCTTCGTGGCCACCATTCACGCATACTGCACCCCATATTAACACCTTTAAAGAAAAACAAAAGGTCCCACATATTCATTACTGAAACAACCTGCTGGTGCAGAAGCACAGAAACAAACAGAAAAATCATTTTCCCAATTAAACATGTCCAGCTGTCCAGGTAGTGGTGATGTTTTCGGCTTGATAAGGTAAGACACAAGTGACCTTGATACAGCATAACTATGTGTGTGAGATCCTGTGCAATTCCTTACACACCTCGCTTGGTTCTTCCCCAGTGTCTCCTCTTGGAGTTGTACCTGATTTTATCACCAGTTTTCTTTCAAACCCAATGAGGAATAAGTTAATTCTGCTTATGTTTCTTGGCCAGGAATCGCTTGATCCTGAAGGTCTTGTGAGAAGACATGATGAGGAACAAAATCAATCACACACACCACAATAGTAGAGAAAGGGAGAGAGAATGAACACCTTTTTTATTGTGATAAATACATATAACATGGAATTTATTATTTTTACCATTTTAAAGTGTATAATTCAGTGTCATTTAGTACATTCCCAATGGTGTGCAACCATTACCACTATCTAGTTGCAGACTATCTTCACCACCCCGAAATGAAACTCCCTACCCATAAAGGAGTCATTCCCCAATTCCCCCCTGCACCCTCAGCCCCTGCCTCACACTAATCTGTTTTCTGTCTCTATGGATTTGCCAATTTGGGCTATTTCATATAAATAGAATCATACACTATGTGGCTTTTTGTGTCTGGCTTCCTTCACTGAGCATAATGTCTTCAAGATACATCCATGTGGTGTCATGTATCAGTATTCATTCCCTTTTATGGCTAAATACTCTATTGTAGGGATATACCACATTTGGCTTATCCACTCATCAGTTGGTAGACATTGGGGTTGTGTCCACCTTCTGGCTATTGTGAATACTGTTGCTATGAACATCTGTGTACAAATTTTTGTTTGGACACCTGTTTTCAATTTTATTGTGTATATACCTATGAGTGGGATTGCTGGACCATATGGTATTTCTATGTTTAACTACTCAAGGAACCACCAAACTGTTTTTCACTGTGGCTACACTATTTTACATTCCCACCAGCAGCGTAGCAGAGTTCCAATTTCTCCACATCCTGCCCAACACTTGTCATTTTCTATTTGTTTTTATTATAGCCATCCCAGTAGGTATGAAGTGGTATCTCATTGTGGTTTTGATTTGCATTTCCCTGATGACTAATGATGGTGAGAATCTTTTCATGTGTTTATGGGCCATGTGTATATCGTCCTTGGAGAGATGTCCTTTCAAATCCTTTGCCCACTTTTTAAATCTTTTTTTTAAGTAGGCTCCATGCCCAACATGGGGCTTGAACTCATGTCCCTGAGATCAAGAGTCACATGCTCCACAGACTGAACCAACCAGGCGCTTTTACCTATTTTTTAAATGGATTTTTGTCTTTTTATTAAGTTGTAATAGTTCTTTATATATTTTGGATACCAAACTCTTATCAGATATCTGATTAGTAATACTTTCTCCCATTCTCTAAGTTGTCTTTTTACTCTCCTGATAATGTGCTTTGATGTACAGAAGTTTTCAATTTTGATGAAGTCCAATTTACCTATTGTTTCCTTGTTGCTGATGCTTTTGGTGTCATATGTCAGAAGCCACTGCCAAATCAAAAGTCATGAAGATTTACCCCTATGTTTTTGTCAAAGAATTTTATACTCTTAGTTCTTATATTTAGGTCTTTGATATATTTTGAGTTAATTTTTATATGTGATGTGAGGTCAGGATCCAACTGCCTTCTTTTGTATGTGGATATCCAGTTGTCCTAGCACATTGTTGAAGAGACTGTTCTTTCCCCCATCTAATTGTCTTGACACACTTGTTGAAATCAACTGACCGTACATGGGTGGGTTTGTTTCTGGACTTCCAATTTTATTCCACTGACACACACACACACACACACACACACATATGTGTATATATATATATATGTATATATACACATATATATATGTCTATCCTTGTGCCTGTACCACACTGTTTCAATTACTGTAGCTTTGTAATAAGATTTGAAATCAGGAAGTGGGAGTTCTCCAATTTTTTTCTTTTTCAAGAATATCTTGACTAGTTGGGGCTCCTTGCAATTCCATATAAATT